TCTCTGATGGCCAGCTTCATTATCCAAAGAATGTTGTGTTCCCATTAGAGGTTATTAGAGATCAAGGTGCCTAAGAATTTACAAATCCAAACCAGAAAAGGCTGGGACAGTGTGTAAAATAAAAATTAAAACTGAAAATAATGATTTGTAAATCATCTGTCCTGTATTACATTGGAAACAACACAGCAGCACATTTGATGCGACACCTCATCAATTTTATTTTTTATTCAAAATAAACACTCATCTCAATTCTGATGCTGCAACACAGTCCAAAAAAAGTTGGGACAGTTGCATTTCAGGGCCAGTAATGAGGTAAAACAATGAAATGATGATTCTGTTTGAATTAGGTGATGTCAACAGGTGACTGCATCATGATTTGGTACAACAGTGGCATCCAGGAAAGGCTGAGCCCTTTAGGAGAAAATATGGGCCAAGGACCACCAGTTTGCCAACATATGTGTGAGAAAATGATTGAAATGTTTAAAAACAATGTTCCTATTAGAAAGCTAGGAAGGCATTTGGCTCTGTCACCCTCTACAGTGCAGAACATCATTAAAAGATTCAAGAAATCTGGAGGATTTCAGTGTGTGAAGGACCAAGCCTAAGCTGGATGACCGAGCTCTCTGATCCCTCAGACGCCACCATATCAAGAATCATCACTCTTTTATAAGTGAAATAATCAGCCACTACAATATGTAGTTACATCCATAAATGCTGCTTACAACTCTACTGTGGCAAAATGAAGCCCTAATTCAACAGTGTCCAGAAGCTGACTGCTCTGGGGTCAGAGGCATCTGGGATGGACCATCACACAGTGGAAACGTGCACTGTGGTCAGACGAATCAGTATTTATGTCTTTTTTGGAAGGAATGGACACGATGTGCTTTAGACCAAAGAGGAAAAGGACTGCCCAGACTGTTACCAGCAACATGTCCAAAAGCCAGGGTCTGTCATGGTCTGGGGTTGTATCAGTGTCCAGGAAAAAGGTCACTTCCACTTCTGATGGCTCCATTATTGCTGAAAAATACTCCGAGACTTTGGAGCAACATATGTTGCCTTCAAGATGACATCTTTTTCAGGGACGCCCATGTATATTTCAACAGGACAATGCAAAACTTCATACTGCACATTACCAAGGCCTGGCTGTGGAGGAAAGGGGAGCCAGTCCTGGACTGGCACATTTTGAAAAGCTAATTGCATCAATGAAGACCCAGGACTGTTGCGCACCTTAAGATTTGTTTGCGGGAAGAATGGGACACAATGACACCTGACACATTTAATCACATGTCCTCAGTCCCTAAATGTATTTTACTGCTGTGAAAAGGAATGGCAACATCACACCCTGGTAAATGTTTTACTGTCCCCACTTTGTTTAGAATGTGTTGCAGCATCAGAATTGAAGTGAGTTTATTTTGAACAAAAAATAATATTGATGAAGTATCACATAAAACAATGTGCTGCTTTATTGTTTTCAATGTCATACAGGGCACAGATGATTTACACATCACTGCTTTAAGTTTTAATTTTGATTTTACACACCGCCCCAACTTTTTCTGATTTGGGGTTGTAAACTCCACCACCATTTCAACCTTCTCCCCCTGCTATATTAAGAGGTAACTTATCTGCTTTCCTTTCCCTGCAGTCAGTCATCTCTTTGGTTTTACCAATATTGAGATGCACATGTTTGTGTTTGCACCACTGCTCCAGTCTAAAAACCTAATTTTTGTATGCTAATTCATTTCATGGTGTAATCAGCCCATCCACAAAAAAAGTGAACTGAGTCATCATGAGAAGTGCATTCATCATTGTATAGTGAATATAACAAAGAAGGGAAGCAGCAGCCCTGTGGAGCTCTGATGTTTACTGTGCAGGCTATGGGAAAAATATTACCGATTTTCACTTCTTGCTTCCTGTTATGTAAGAAATCCAGAAACACACAGATTCACCAACCCCTGCTGCACTCAGCCACAGAGATACTGCATCGTCTACCGATCTATTGCTCCTATATGCAAATTGATTTTGGTCAAGTTGAACACCTGATAGAAATCTGTGAACTAGCTTTTCAAAAACCTTCATTATCACTGAAGTAAGGGTGACTGCTCTGTAGCCATTTAAATTGGATGCATTTGATTTTTTAGGCACAGGCACAAAGATGGAATAAAAAAATGGAAGCCTAAACAATTCAAGGGACTTATTAAAAATGTAGGTTAAACTATGCACTAACTTGCCTGCATAGTGTTTCAGGGTAGCTGGTGAAATGTGGTCTGGTCCTGCTGCTTTCCTTGGCTTCAGTTTGTTTAATTCATGCCTGACCATATATTCTTCTACAATGAACGGTTGAGGAAGCAGGTGAACTGGTTTTTCCCTTGATGGTGTTAAACAATTGTCTCCACTGAACCTACAATAAAATGTATTTAATTAATTTGGGAGGTCATCCCTTCTTTCTGGAGGGATGCTTATCAGTTGGTAAGAAACTCCAGACAGGAACAAACTGTGGGAAGACACCTCCACTTTTAGTTCCTAATTTATATCATGTCAGTATATCTGTAGCAAAAACAAAGAAAGTTGATTGAAATATACAAATGCCTATAAAAGGTATTCACCCCCTTGGATGTTTTACCCTTTTATTGATTTTATAATTCAATCATGGTCAATATAATTTAACTTTTCTGACAAAAAAAGTACATTATGAATACTTTTTATAGGCACTAAAGAGAAGAGCTTAATGAAACTTGAAATTAACTTTGTGTTGTGAATTTGTTTAATCAGCAGACTGAAAAAGCCTGGAATGTATATAGAATTTTAGAATGTGGATTTTGGTGATTATGTGTTTTGTATTATAAAAAGCCTGACCTGGATGTGATATGCGAACTGGAATGGACTCTGATTGTGAAGTGAAAAACTATGATGGGAGGGGTGGGGGATTTATTTTGTTCCAAATCCCTAGAAATTCATCTTTAAACCAACTACTGAACACTGGAAGCACAACAAACACTTTGCTAGCTTATAAAAGGAAACATTAAACTGTGTCTATGTCTGGGATGTAGAGCTGTTTCTACTTTCAAAGTGTAAAGTAATTGTTTCAAGTGATCTGGGAGGGTTTCCATAATAAAGCTATTGTGTATTCCTTGTTACATTCTACATTATTGGTATGAATTGAATTTATTACTGTCATGCTTTTGATTTGTTGCGCCATCTCTCCTGAAAAAAAAAGAGAAAAGCTCTGGGGACAGATGCATAAAACTCTCAGTTGCTGTAGAATTGCACACATATACACAAACCTCTTTGCCACTCCCACCTTTAGGCATAAATAGATGTAGACATGCCCTTAGTCAAATACTTGCATAGAAAAACATTGTCTCAACCATACGTTAGACATGACAATGCTTAAGAAGAGACACTTTGGAGAGGTGGAGAAAAGAAAAGATGATTAGTTTAGTGATCTCAATTCAGGGATAAACAAACTGAAGAAAAGCTGCTGAAGGGCAAAAAATAACAGGCTGTCGGTACTGTCAACTCAGGCGGAGAACCATTGCTGAAGTGGAGAAGAAGTGGTTGTATTGTATGCAAGAGGCAGAAAAGCACATACATGCGCACAAGGGAGCCTGAGGGCAACAGGAGGATGACCAGCAACTGCTGCATTATCTACTGCAATTTTGGCTACACAGCATTACATGGAATCAGAACAATCTGGAAACACTCTCTTGTCCTATTGTAGCCACATTGTCAGGATCCTCCAGTAACGCCAGAACAGCCATCCTTACACACAACCATTACACACAGCTACAGTGTGTATAGAGACATCTAATTTAATCAAGCATTTGTAAAGTCTTGTTAAGTTTTTCATGTCTCAATCACCATTAATGACCACAACATCAACAGTTTACAGAATCATTTACAAGAAATGAAAAACAGGTCAAAAATGAGAAATAATAAAATTCATAAGGCCAACATAAGCGGGTTAAAAATACACATTATGAACTGAACTATACAGTATGTAAGCAGTTTAAAAATAATGCAGCTGTTAAAAGATGAAAGCCAATTTTATTTTTCATTTCCACTTCATCATATCATACCTACTCAGTCCATGTGTACACGTGGTCTACAGTATGCGTGAGGTATGCACATTCTTCCTGCACATTGGGCCTCATTTGTTAATATGGGCATAGAAAGGAACAAGTGCATTTGTACTTATTTGGGGTACAAAATACACAAGTGTCCATGAAAAATTACCATCAGATTTACTTGTGTAATGGCATATTTTCCTCTTATCATCATAAAATGACAGGCAATGCCCAAAATGCACAATTAGCATACCACAACCCATTTCTTTATATAAGGAAATACATTTGTCTAGAGGTGTCTCCTGGAAAAGCATGGTTCAGCTTTAAGCTTACTCTAGTACATATAGTATATCTTTGAGTGAGAGGAAATGTTGTTGATGTTTACACATTTCAGTATAATACTTATTTAACTTTAATACCATTATATAAAAACTTATATTTGTTACAGTACGCTCACACACGGAAGTGAATAAGCAGTACAAAGAGGCAGACCCAGGTAGCCGACTTCAGTGCAAGCAGTGATTTATTATTACACAGTGCAGTCTAATGATAACAACAAGCAAGTGGATGATAATGGAACAGAGTAACCGGAGTGTCGACCAGTAGCAGGAGTGGAAGGATGATGAGTTGAATGCGATGGGGCCGAGCTGCGTCACGGGGTCACTCCTGGGCTGGTCAGCGGGTGATGGTAGCTACTGGAAGAAACACAAGCCGAGAGGAGGTGGTATGGCAGACAACTGGTGACTGTGCATCGA